ATAAGTTTTATTAAGATTTTAAAAAAATTTTATATACACTGCATACAGTACCCAGGGTCTTAATCAAAAATGTAATTTTTCAAATTAAATAGTACTCACAGGTACTAAATGAGAAACTGGATACTATTTAAAGGGATACAATATATAGGAATACTGTATATGAAGGTTACAATTATATAGCTTTAATAAATAAATATCAAAAAAAAAATTAAATTTACTTTTCTTCTCCAACCACTTCTTATTAGAATATAATCTTCTTTAATTCAGCTTTATAAATATTAAGAAAAATTTAATACTTTTCTTTCCTTTATATAAAATTATAAAAAATGTTCAAGTAATAGAAAAAGTTAATATTGAAAATACTATACAAAATGATATTATGCCTAGGTATTAATCAATTTTCACAAAATTTAGCTTTAAAAAGTATTCAAATACTATTGTAACTAGGTCAGTATGTATATTCCCTAACAAAAGTTTTTGATCAGATCTTTTTTTTAAAAACTTAACATTTAGTGATTATAAATAAATTACTGTAGTTTGTTAGATTTGCTATAACCAAATGCATCTAATGATATTCGTTTCATATTTCTAGAATCAATAAATAAAAAATTATTTGTAAAAGTCTTTAAAATAAAAATGTAAATAATTTTTTATCTATTAGTGATAAAGATATAAAAAATACTACTATTAGATGCATCTCATTATAACAAATATAATGAATTATGTTTCATTTTTTTAAGTTCAATGAATGATAAGAAATATCAATATTAAAATTTGAAATGATTAAGATTGACAAATTAAATTTTATCATGTATTACCTTTTTAAATCATAATTATTATTATAGATCTAATCAGATTTGATAATATTTTTTTTTAGGTTTAGCTAGAAACTTATATTATAAAAATAAAATAATCATGATTTTATTATTTAAATTTTTTAAAAAATAGCAAATCATAAGAAACTAATTATTTTTAATAAAAAATGATTGTTAGACTTCACAAAGGTAATATAAAGCTACTGATATTTTTAGAATTTTAAAAAAATACCCAAAAATACTTGCTAAAATATTATTAAAGAATTTTATAAAAAAAGTTTTACAAATGTTTTTTCTCATTCAGAAAGATCACCTTTTTTGAATGAACATAATAAATGAATTTTTATATGCTAAGCTAGAAAAAATCAAAATTTTTCTTTTAAAGAAATTACTGAAAGTTTTAATTAACTTAGATTTATCTAAATTAATACTAGTACTTCTAAATATGTATTATACAAATATAACTATTTTAACTAAATTGGAAAAGAAAACTATTTATTGTAGATAACAATAGAAAAAATGCTTAAATAATATTAATTTTGAATAAAGAATAAAACAATATAATTTAAAGTAATAAATTCTAATTATTTTTATTTGAAAATAATAAACAATAATGGATTTGAAGAAAACCTCATGAAAAGTATGATATAAACTACTTAATTTTTACAGTAAAATAGATAATAATAGAATAATAGTTTAGGGTTATTTTATTAAAATTAAATTTAGACTTTTAGTAGTATTAGATGAAAAAATCATGAAGGCAGTATATAAAAACTTATTAGAAATACTTTTATAGAAGATCTGAAGGAAGATATTTTCTATATTTTTCAAATAATAATGTTTTTATATATAAAGCAAAATTAGCACTTGAATGGAAAGAAAAAAATTTAATATCTTTTATTTTATGATTTATCCAAAGTTCAGATCTTAATTCAATTGAGCATTTATAGGATCATTTAGGAAGAAAAATGTATAAGCATAGAACCTGAATCTAAAAATAAAGAAGAATTTTTGCAATTTGATAGAAAAGTGATCTAAAATTGAAGAATTTTATTTAGAAAAATTAGTAAATAGCATATTAAGTAAAATTGAAGCAATATAAAATTTTTTTAATAATATAAATAAAAGTTTTTGAATAAATTTAATTTAAAATTTATTTTTTTTTTAAAAAAATACTAATTTTTTACAATAGTTGAAGATTTTTAATAAGGGAATGTATACTGAATAGTATTTAGGTATTAATCACAAAGGGTATTATTTTTAAGAATATTATATGTAATGGTATACAGTAATCCTTTATATAATCACTCTCTTATATAGTTACTCTTCTCTTATAAATACATTTTTGTTAAGCTGAAGTAAATAATAAACTTATTAAAAAATACTTTTTTATAATTATAATATATAATTTTTATATAATCATACTAATTTTTTTAATTCTAAGAATATAATTATATAAGAAGTTAATTATATAATAAAATATTAAAAAATAAAATTTTTTTTTTTAATAAAAATTGAAATAATAATAAATAAGATAAAAAAATATATATATATAATATTTTAAAAGTAATATATTATTTTATTTTTTAATTTTAAAAAAATTTATAACTTATTAATTATAAATAATATAATTATAATTTATTATTTATAAACAAAAATTATAAACTATACTGTGTATTTAATACTATATCACGTGATTATATGATTTATATTTATTTTTATTAAATCACAGTATTTATATCAAAATTGATCATATTGGTAATACTTTATCCTTTCATCGCATTGGTAATACTTTATTCTTTTACCACGTTAATAATACTTTTATTCTTTTAACACATTAGTATTATTTTCATCTGAAATACGTTAGTATTATTTTCTTTTGAAACACCAATAATTATATCTTTTTATGAAACACTGTTTCTTCAAGTTGAGAATAACTGTGATAATGTTAATAACCTTGATCCAGCTAAAAATTTGGGAGACAGTTTTGACCTTTTAGTTAATAATATACAAACAATTATTTCAAGTGAAAAAAAATCTTTTAGTAAATTTAATGAAGATAATAAGAAAGAAATTGAAAACTTTGAGCTATTATATTTTGTTATACTGGAAATGACTTTCATAAACTGAAAGAAACTTGACGAATAAGTAAAAAAGTTATTTTGTTATATTGGTGTATTTGCAATTTCAATTAGATTAGATTAGATTGAATTTATCAATCTTAATGGATTAGATAGATTTTCATATAATAAATTAATTTTAGTAGAATATTGGCGTAATTTTTTACTAAAAGTTTTATCATAATAAATTATTTCCATTGTTTAATCCCTATTGTTTATTATTTGCATATTAATAACAAAATATTTTTTAATTTTAAGATGATTGGAAAATTATAGATTAGAACGAGATTTTGCACTTATAATTATTTATAGCAAAAAAGACAAGAATGATGGTTTTCTCAACATCGTATTTATGCATGCTCAAAAGGTCAAACATATAATCAACAAAAAAGAATAAATATAAATAAAAATTGTAATAAAGGACATTATACTAATAACTATAAATTTTATATTAATACTTACTAGCAAAAAAGATAATCTTGTTTATATTACAAAGGTTGATGGTAAGCATAATCATAAATTGGTAGAGAATATTAGAATTGCCACACTATAGTATCATAAGCTTATCCCAGAAATGCATAAGAATGTAACAATTCTTACTACCTATAAAATACGAACTGATGCAATTATTAAAGTTTTATAACATAAATATCTAGAAAAATATATTTATTCTCACAATATTTATAATTTAATTCAAACAATTCGATTTCAAAATCAAGCTACAAGTAATACTAATTCAATTTATCTTGCACTTATGAATCAGCAGCTAGAAATCTAATATTTCATATTAATGTATGATTTAAAGGTCAAGATAATTATTTTATTGGACTCTGTTAAATGCATCCAAGTCAATAGGAATTGTGAGCTCATTTTCATAATATAATTTTACTTGATATAACAGCAAAAACAAACTAATATTCAATGATTTTATGTGTTATAATATTAGTTGATAATCATAATCATTCTCATCTTGCAATAACTGCAATAGTATCAAATGAAATAAAAAATACTTTTACATGATTATTTACAAGTCTTTTCAAATCAACAGGAGGATTAACATCAACTTTATTTTATACAGATACTGATTTCATAATGATTGTAGCAGTAAATAATGCTTGGCCTATAATAAAGCATTATTTTTATTTGTTCCATATTAAAAAAAACTTGAAAAAGCATTTTTTTAGTAAATATTGTGATAAAAAATGAAAAAAGTTCTTTTCTTCTTTTGTTATATGCATAATAATCAGGTCAAATCAATTTTTGAAGAGAGGTAGACTGTATTATTATAGGAATATACTGATATCATAAATTACCTACAACATCAGCTTTATTCATACAGAGAGGCTTTGATATTGTACTTTATATATTATGCATTTAATATTAGAATTCAAAGTACACAATACATAGAGTTAAATGATATTATCAAAAATAATATTAATGGATCATCATCTCTTATGGAACTTGAACATACAATTAAAAGATTATTAGCAAAGAAAAGTAAATATTTAAAATTAAATAAAACCATTAGTAAGCTTCCTATAAGTAAAGAAGAAGATTATCATAATCATTATTTTAAAGATATTAATAAATTATGTCAACATTTTTTAACACCAGCAATTCTTAAACTCCAATAATATGAAATTTATCACAGTATGCACTACCAATGTCATAGAACTAATTTGAATTATAAACTTAAATAATAGGTATAAATCAAATTTATCGTTATATAATTACTATTAGAGATAATTAATTTTTTTCTTTATAGAATACTATAGAATCACCAAAAGGCATATTTTCTGAAGAAATGTTTGATGCTTGTATTATAGAACTTGCAGAATTAATTATGAGTTTAGATACAACAAGAATTAATAAAATTTTTTCTATTGATAAAAAAAGCAAGTATTTTATTATGCTATATGATATCACTATGTATTTATGTATATGCTTGACATTAATTAATCATGGCCTTGTATGCTACCATTTTTTTGCAACAATTCTTGTATCTTCAATTGCCAAGTTTCATATTAGACTTATACCATGACGTTGATATACTGATACATCAGTTATGGAGGTGGATACAATACTTTCAAGTATACTAGCAATTTCAGTAATTTCTAATGATAAGTTTGGTATAATAAAATATATAGTAGAATTAAATCTTTCTCATTTAGAGAATATTCGTAAGTATTATATTTTTACTAAAGAAGTTTATTATGAAATGACATGAAAACAACAGTGAAAAAAAGATTTGGGTTAATGAAAAAAACACTTAATTTAGCAATTGAAACAGGAAAAATAGAAGAACTTTATAAAATATATGAAAGATTTGCTAAGAAGATAGAATCTGAAATCACACAAACTGTGCAAGGTAATAATATTATTGAATTTGCCTGTATTATTAACAACCTAATTAATATTAGAACAAAAAACCAAAAACCTAAAAATTCAAATAATATATATGCTAATTGTAAGGGTAAAAAAGGCAAGTAAGAACTAATCAAAATAATAAAGAGAATAATATAAGTGATAAAGATCACAAAGAATTATTACCAAATAGAAATTGGCAAAAAGTCTTACAAGATAATTCAAATATAGGTATATATAGGGTTTTTATATTACTTATGATATTAATATTATGTTAATTAGCAATTTTTTTATTTAGTAGATTATGAGTTAAATATAGATATAAAAGTTGAAAGTAATTTTTTAAAATATGGTATTGGAATGCTACAATTTTTTTTTTAAAAAATACTGGTACTAGTCACTACTGGTATTAGATACCATTAGTGTAGTTTAGTAAAGTCGCATATATTTTAACTTAAATATTATTGTAAATTAAATTATATAAAGATATATTAGGATATAGCAAAAAACAATACATAAGAATATTGCAATTACACATAGATTGAATTATAATAAATTTTTTCTAAAGTATTAGATTCAGTTCCTTTAATTACAGTTTAAAAATATGCACAAAAATTATGCCAATTTATGAATATTTATAAAAAAGGTAATACTATAAAATGGTAGAATTGCAGTTAAAAAATATATTTTATTATCATATATTTGATGCAATTTATAATAAAATAATAAAATAAAATAAAATAAATTATTTCATATAATTTTTAATTCTAATTTTTTATTGACTTTTATATATATTATAAATTGCTTACATAATTTATAAAATTGAAAAAAAAAATATTTTTTTATAAATTGATTCATTTTTATAAATATAAATCATTTTTTTTATTTGATTAAAATCCAATCAGTGGATTAAATTTTATTAATATTTTTTTAAGTTCCTATTATAGAGGTTTTACAATATATCATTTAATTATTTTTTTAAAAATATGAAATAATAACATAATAGAATAATATTTATGAAAATAATAAGGATTAGTATCATAAATGATAATTAATATTTGATATTTTAAGATAATATTTAATCAATTATAAAAGTAGATCTTAAGATAATATATTTTAATATTATTATAGATAGAATATTGATTAAGTATAATATAAATTTAATCAAATAAAAAAATATTTATTTAATATTAGAAAAACTTTTGATAAGATTAGATCTTAAGTTTATTAAATTATAAAAGTAAAATAATTCTATAATTAAATTATATATAATATCAATTACTCTCATTAATTTTAAAGTAATAGATATAAGTATAAATATATATATCAACTATTGATCTTTAATAAAAAATGTAATTTAAATGTAAATTTTTATAAAGTTTACATTAATCATCCTACTTATTATATTATTATATATAATATAGTTAATAAAAAAATTATTAAGATATAATACAATTATTAAATTAGAAATAAATAGATAATAAAAGATTTGTCTTTAATTTCTTTAATTTAAATATATAATTAAAAAATAAGAAATTCTATTAAACTAAATTCACAAAATTAATAATTTGTAAAATCATAAATTTATTTTCAAAAATAAGTTAGAGATTCTATATTTTCTATTGATTTATTAAATAATCTTCTTGAATTTTATAATGTAAATAATATTAAATAACATATTTATTAGTATATAAATAAATTTTGAATAATGTTATTATTTTAACATTAAAGTATTTTTAAAATAAAAAGTAAAATAAAGATCAGCTAGCTATATAAAATATAGTCTATTCTTAATATAGTAAAGTAGCTATTCTACATCTTAATTTTATTATAGCAAGTTAGTGAAGAATTTGAAAATTTAATTGATTACTTTATTATAAAAAGGAAAAATTAATATATTTAATTGTTTAATTATCATATAGTTTATTATATTAAAATTTATTATATTAAGGTAAACTATATTAGTTAGTTAATAATTAAAGGAAACTGTATAAGATTACTAATCTCAATAATATTTACATTACTAAATTAAAGTATATTATTATAGAGATTAATAAATATGTTGTCACCGGGTTCATTTTCATTTATCTTAACGTTTAAGTTGAAAGGCTGTGGCAGCTGATTCTACACATTGGAGTTTCTAACCTTAGGATTTTCTCTAAGTCCTACAGGTATCCGTTATACTTGAATCAACTCGGCAATTTATCA